TATTCATATTCTGTAAACTAATGCAGTTAAAGTAATGGCAAATACAGCTGTATCTTAACGAAAGAATTATTTGCATAAATGCGAAATTAGGAAGACATGGTTGGCCTTTAGGGTTATGTATGCCCTGAGGCTCACTAGCATCCTGGGTTGTTGGGCGAGCGTTTGCGTTACGGCTTCATGTCCTCTTCCTCTCGATGGATTTGATGATAGGGCAGGGATGAGTCCCTAATCTTAATCCAGTCTAGACACCAAAAAATTATAGTAAGCAATGTTGACTAACATTACCTAGCAGAATGAGAGTATCTACCTAATTCGGTAATCGAAACATAACCATCAGAGCTTCGATCAACCCAAATGACCAAAGATGGATAGAGTTTAGGAAGAGTCTTATGATAATTTTACGACCTACTTACAAGATAAGCAGTCTACTGCATATTAAAATATGATGATCACTATGCAGAGGATTTATATAAAATTTTATGACAGCTTAAAATTACAATACCAGTAAAAACATATATTGAAATCGAAAATAGATTTGATAAAGAATACAAATTTATAAATGCACATATTAAATTTTTTTAATTTATAAAAATTAAAATTAAAAATTAAAGTAAAGGAGAGTTTTTAAGGCTATAAGTTATAGTATGTATTTGCATGTAATAGACTCCTAATGTGTTGGTAAATCATATGGAAATATGAGTTTATTTTACAATGTTGTATTTTGGTATCCGCCTTAAATTATATTAACAAACTGTAAAAGACATTTTATTTGCCTCAAAACAATGAATCCTGATAGAATTCAACCATTAACTTAATTCTCCTTCTCAAAATACAAGTGAAAATATAGGTTTTTAACGCTTACTTCCCTGGCTGAACAGGAACATGTACTGCTCCATAACCCCGTATAACATCTTTTCCAAAAATGTCTAACCCATATGCATGAATGATCAACTGTGGCCCTAAAATTAAGAATAATACATTTCATTCAATTACATCCAAAAGGATTTGAAGACTTCCATGTTATATCGATTGGAAAATTAAACACATGCTCTTGATTTGAGTCAGAACTTTTTAATGTCGTTTGTGTGATGCCTTCGTCCATGCCCTATATGATAAAGTAACTGACAACAAAAATCTCCTACAGCCACAATGACCCAGTCCAATCCATGCGAAAAGCAATATTTACACCA